AAGCCATCTGCTTCTGTAATGATGGACAGCTTCAGAAATCCACTGCGGGGCCACTGCGTCACAATTGACTGGAGGCAGTCAGGTGTTCATGTGCTTGTTTTCGGGGACAGGAAGCCCAGGCCAGCCCCAAGGCAGTGGGGGCTTTCAGCCTTCGCAGGGCCTGCATCCAGGGAGGCCCATTCAGCTCCTCTCTGGCCCAGGCATTCGCAGTGGGGCGGGAATCAGGGCCATTCACCAAGACAAAGTAGAGGTGTTTACAGGGCTGGTACGGTGCGTGCAGTCTGGACACTGTCGGCCCGGGACAAAAGCAGGACACAAACAAGCACGCAGGGACACAAAGCTCACCCAGAGCCGGCTGCAGAAACAAAGGGGGAAGCAGGCACAGAGATGGGGGGCCTGGGCCCCAGACCCCTAGTCCACTTGCCAGCTGGTGGCCTCAGCATGTCACTCGTCCTCAGTTTCCTCATGACCTCTTTAGTAACCCCCAGCTCTGACCTCTGGTGATGGGCCAGACTGGGGAGGTGGGGCTCCTGACACCCCGTCCTTCGGGATCCCACATTCTAAAAAGAGGTGCCCAGCAGCTTTTGCAGGGCAGGACCACAGAGAAGGAATGAGAGGTCCGCCCTGGCGGGCTAGGGGCTCCTGTGCTCTGTGAGGCTCAGCTGGGGCTTGGCCTGCTAGTGAGAGACAGTGCCGGGCCCCAGGCAGCAGCAGCCATCCCCTCGGCATCTTGGGGGGCACGGGAACAAAGCAGAGAGCTACACAGCAACCCAGCACAGCGCACAGTCAGAAAGGCCAGCTCTGGCCCAGATCAGCGTCGCTAGCTGGGTGGCTCTGAGTGGGCTCCTATGCCTGCTTTGGACTTGGGGGTCTCAGGTGTGGAACCAGAAAGATGCTTCCCTCCTGGCAGTACTGACCGCTCTGAGGATCAGTACCGAGAGGAGCGGGAAGCAGGCTCGAGCAGGGCCCGGCTGAGCAACCCACTAAGTGGTGGCTCTGCTGACTGGGAGGAGGATGTGAAAGCCTGAGTGGTCAGGTCCGTGGGCACAGATGTGTCTGCACTCCGGGCTCTTCTACCTGGGGCTGGGTCTGACCAATGAACTAGTATCTCCCAGAGGACGCAGAGGGGCCCCGGCAACGGCTCTCAACCTGTGAGTCTCCACCCCTTTGGGGGTTGAACGACCCTTTCACAGGGGTCGCCAAAGACCATCGGGAAACACATCTTTCTGATGGTCTTAGGACCCGAGACACCCTCCTCTATCCGTCTCCAGGCAGGTCCACCCACATGCAGATACGCCCACCCATGAGTACCCGGTGTGAAGACTGTTACCCATGTTACACCATGCTTCAAGACAAAATTTCATTGATTTGTCATTAGAAATACATATTTTACAATATATAATTGCATATTGTTTTTGTGATGAATCACTATGCTTTATGTTCAATTTGTAACAATGAAAATACATCCTGCATATCAGATATCTATATTACAATTCTTAACTAGCAAAATTAGTTATGAAATAGCAATGAAAATAAAGTTATGGTTGGGGGGTCAACACATCATGAGGAGCTGCATGAAAGGGTCGCAGCATTAGGAAGGTTGAGAACCACTGGTCCACAACGAGGCCATTCCCAGAGAGCTGGACAGGAGCCTCCAGACCCCTACTCTTTCCCCCTCCCACCTGGGAAAACTCTGGGAAAGTCAAGGGCTACACAACGCCCTGGCCCCAGCTTGCTGGCATGTGCCAGAAGACAGCTGCGGGCTATTGCTTGGCCTGGAATGCTCCCAATGGTCAGCTGGGAAACGAAGCTCCAAGACCCTGCGAAGCCTTGCCAGAGGGAGGTCGGTCAGCCAAGGCGCTGGATCCCAGGAGTGCTGACACAGGGCAGGCCTCTGCTGGGCTGACTGCAGTTAGGAGTGGCCAGCTAGGGCTGGGCCCACCCAAGGAGGAAGTGATAGAGGAGCTTAAATTGTGCCCACCTGGTTTACAGAAGGCTATGGAGACAGCGGAAGCCCAAAATTCCATTTGCAGGCTCATGGATTAAGCCTCCAGTGAATTCCCTCCATAGTGGAGGGATGGGAATAAGCTCTTACCAGACAGAGGGTGTTGTCAAGATGTTCTATCATTTAATCTCCCTTTTTGACCCATTGTAAAGCTGTTTCTGCTTAAAAAAGGGGGAGGGTGTAATACACATGAATTAAGCCCCTGGTGAATCCCCGCTGACCATGGACCATAGATGGAATAACCTCGCCACCATGCAGGATGCACTGGAAAGTCTACTGCTGAAGATGCAGTTAGGTTAAAATTCAGCACCCTATCACTTGAACTCCCTTATGATCCATTTAAGTTTGTTCAACGTTCACATTTTCTGCTTTCTTTCCGAGTGAGGTTTTGGTCTGGTTTTTCGTTGTTGTTGTTATTGTTGTTAGTTTGGGGAGTGTTTGTTTGTTTTTCTGTGTGTAAAATCCAAGATTGGTAAATCCATAAGACAAAAACTAGATATTTTGTATCTAGATTAACAGCTGCTTGGGGATATGGCAGGGAACACGGTGCTAATGAGTACAAAAATGAAGAAATGTTCTAGAATGGATTATGGTGATGTTTGTACAACTCTTCTTGATGTGACTGAACTATTGTATGATATATGAATTCCATGTCAATAAAACTCTTGGGGGGAGGAGCTAAGATGAGAATCTGCTGAGCCTTCGGCTCACTTCCTTGAGAGGAGCAGCCAGTCACTAGAAAAGGCCATCATGTTGAGCAACACAGGGAGACAGCAAAAATGAGAAAGACAATGAGATGGACCGACACAACAGCCACAACAAAGCCCTGGTGCAGGCTCTGCTGTGCTTCGGATGAGGTCACCGTGCGTCAGAACCAACCCAGCGACATGGGGCCACACAAGTCAAAAGAGCTCACAGAGCAGGCTCCGCCCTGCAGAAGACACCACAGAAGTTGCACCCCGCAGAGACGGTCCCACCCTGGCTCCAGATTCAACCGACAGATGCGGCAGTACCTCCTAGTGAGCTGTCTGCTCAGTCACTGTGATTGTTAAGTTTTCTGTGCCAATGTGATGCCTATGGGAACATGTGGGCGGAGTTTAGCCTGTCAATCAGGTCACAGCTTGATTGGAGGGCTATCATGATTACATAGCTTTTTGAGGCAGGCCTCCTTCTCTGCCTCAACAGTGCAGCACACTACCTGTGAACCGAGGGAGCGTGTTGCCTCCACGTGCATTGCTAGAGCCTCTGCACCGGCCTCTGCACCTCAAGGTCTCATCTTTCTGCGCCTACTGAGCACCCTGCTGTGTCTGCTGCCTGTGGGGCCAACTGCTCATTGTGCCTGAGGGCAAATTCTGCTGTCTGCTTCCTGGACCTTGAACCAGCAGCAGGCATGAGTTGAAGGACCTTCAGGACGTTAACTGTCCCATGCAAGTGAGATGAACAGAGCCCTGTTATATATATATATTTACACACACACACATATATATATAAAATCATAATGTCCTGGTTTTGTTTCTCTAGAGAACCCCACCTAACACAGTCACACAGTGAGGGTCACATGAGGACAAGCCCCCCCCCCCCTTCTGACTATAAGAGAAAGCAAGGAGTATTGGGGGCGCCCTGTCGGTGCTTTCAGAGGACAGACAGGGCACTGGTGAAGGATGAGAGGTGAGAAGTGCAGGGGGTGGAGGTGGGGAGAGCCAAAGGATAAGAGAAAATGGGGGGCTGGGCATCCTAAAACAAGCCTGGGCAGAGCACCATTTGGGAAACGACCTCGACTGCCCTCCAAGTGACCCAACGAGCATCGAGTGTGCCTTTCAGAATGAGGAGGTCAGGGTCCCGGCTCCTAACCCTCAGTCACCATCCACCACTCTGTATGTACCAGCCCTGCCGCTGCCTCAGAGCCACCTGTACACTGACATTATCCTCAGGGCTTGGAGGGGTTACATCGAGGACCCAGGGCCAAGCTGTTCTCAAATGTCACAGGCCGGGGTGGAGGCCAGGTCTCGGGCTCCAAGCCACACTCTTCCCACCAAGGCCACACACTCCTGCCCTGGGCTCCCACTGGCAGCAATGGGCAGACTGGGACAGACTGGCCGGAGGAGAGCAGGGCGGTGAGCTCCGGCCAGGAAAGAGGGAAGGGGGGGAGGCAGAGCACAGCCCGAGCGGGTTGGGCACCCTGTCCCAGCAGCTGGATCACTTAATCAGGGCTGTTTAACAGAGATCACCCAATAAATAAAACAAATTGCTTTCATTTAAAACACATTAAGTTAACAGCAGGCTTCCTGAGGGCTTCTGGCCAGGTCAGCTATCGGAATAGGCACCCAGCAACAGGGATGGGGGGGTGAAGTGGGGGGACAGGAGCTGCCTCTGGGGCCAGAGCCCATAAGATAGAGAGCCCTGAGAGCCAGCGATGGACGGGAAGTCTCCGCTGGGTATTCAGAGGCTCTCAAACCACCCTGCGGGCAGAGGGTGCCAATAACAACGGCAGACACAGGGTGAGGAGGGGAAGTGGGGGCTAGAAGGAGTCCCCTTCCCAAGGACTGACAGATACTCTTGCCCATCTCTGCCCCTCCAGGTGCCCCCGCCCGCCTGGCCTCTGTCAGACACAGCAGACCTGGGAAGGGGGCGTGGCAGGGCAACGGGGGTGACCTGAGCAGCAGGGCCTGCTGAGGGGGGACCCAAGCCCTTCTGACAACTATGAGGGCCTGGGGCGCTTTGAGATCAAGTCCTGGGCCTTGGACCTGTGGCCCATCTGGCTAGTGACCCAACTGTCACCCAAGCCTGGGCCAGAGGCACCTCTGTGGCCACCTCTTTGTCCCCTCCCTCCAAAGTACTGCAGGGCCCACACTAGGCCACTCTGCCCCACAATGCTCAGGCAGGTGCCCCTCACGTTTCAAAGGGAAAGCCCCTCCCTTTAAGTGGGCCCTTGCTGACTCCTGGGAACCAGATGGAGGGAGGGGAAATGGCCCCAGAGGGCTGTGAGAAGCTGCACTGCTTCGTGGGGCAACTCCCCGGCGGGCGGGCTGCGGCGGCCCAGGTGCCCAACTTGGCACCCAGGCTCCCAGAAGCCTTGAGCTCTCCTTCTGGCTCGGTTTCCGTCCACCTTCTCAGAGGCCTCGTCAGCGCGGGTGGGAAACGACCGCCTCTCGGACTCCCTTTCCTTTCGGTCGTCCTGTGGAGGGGACGGGGCACAGCCCCCCTTCCCCGGTCCGCACCCCGCCTCCGGAGAACATGGACGCGCTCAGCGTCGGCGGGGCGGTGGGAGGAGGCGGGGGCGCACGGCGGCCGGCAAACGCGGTGCGGCGGCGCCCTCCAGCGGCCATGCCGCGTGCTGCACCCAGCGCTGGGGTCGGAGCGCACCTGGGAGGTGGGTGTCCGCTGGGCTGACTCTCCGTCCTCCTGCCAACAGGGTCTGGAACCTGCTGTTGGCGCTGCAGCGGGGAGCTGCGGGAAGAGGCTAGGCTGGTCCCGCCAGCTCACTGCGACGCGGAATGAGTTGCTGGCCCTCGCTGGCCGCCTGTCGGTGACGGTCAGTTCTCTGCGGGCGAGGGGGCACCGCACCCAAGTGGTCTGGCACTCCTTGCTGGCCAGTGCTTGGTGACTCTGCAGTGAGGGCTAGCAGGAGAAGGTACTTGCTGCAAGCCAAGGGAAGAATGCCCGATAAGCAAGGTAAGGGGCACCCGTTGTCCAACACAGAGCCAGAGGCCACACAGAAATGGGAGCGCTACGGTGGAAGGGGACTGGCATCCTGCTGGGTGAAACGGACACGAACGCTAGGATGTGAGAATGTGCCAGCTGGGAACGCCCGCAGGGTCACGCAGGGTGCCACATGCAAGGGTGTTTCAACTGCGAGGCCCCACCACTTCACCACCTTCGCTGACCGCTGTGGCCAGTAGAGGTCCCTCTTGGGTAGCCTGGAGGCTCTCTTGGAGTATATTATTCATTTTAATAATCATTTTAATAATTCATTTTAATAATCCAAATGTGGGGGTGAGCCATTGCGACCAACTTCAGCTAGAAGCACCCACTGTGCAACTGGATCCCATATGACTGGTCACTGGACAGAGACAAATGACGTTGTCAGGTGTCCTTGGGCCGGTTCCAACCCACCGCGACACTGTGCGCGGCCTGGTCCGGCGCCAGTCTCTTCACTGTGATGCGGAGGTCCCTTGCTGCAGCGACGGTGCCACACCATGTCCTTGCCCTGTGTCCACGCCCCGTGTCAGTCCAGCTCCTTGAGGGTCTTGCCCTGTTTTGCTGCCCCTCTACTTTCCCAAGCATGAGATCCCTTTCCAGGGACATGGCCACAGTCGTTCCGACGAAGTCTCGCCATCCTGACCTCTAAGGTGCATTCCAGCTGTACCGCTGAGACAGACGACTTTGCTCTTTTGGCAGTCCACCTTTGGGTTTAGTGGTTTGCTTTCTTCCAATGTTCTTCCGCAGCACCATGATTCAAATGCACCCATGCCTCTTCAGTCTTCTACGTTCAATGCCCAACTTTCACAAGCATATGCAGTGACTGAAAATATCACAGCTTGAGTCTGGGGCACCCCATCCCTCAAATAACATCTGTGCTCTTCAGCAGCTTAAACAGGCCTGGTACAGCAGACTTGCCAGTGCAATGCATCATCTGGTTGGTTGAGCAGTGATCGTGGGTCTCTTAGTTACCTTGCAGGCAGCAAAGACACACACATACACACACACACACACACACACACACGTATATCTGTCTAGCGCAAAGACCTGTTTACTGCGTGAGCAGGCATAAGCGGGGATGCCACAGGTGATCAGTGTCTGCGGCCCTGGCTGCAGGCACTATTTTGTTGGCAGGGGATGATACATATTGTGAGACAGGTTAAAGCCCACCCCTTGTCTCCACACCAACTATCCCTTGGGGCAACCCCTGGCTCTCTCAGGCCTGCAGTGCCTGCTCCCCTCCACAGGACGGGGTCACAAAGCCACAATCAGAGCACAATGGCTCAGCCTGAGGAATGCACATCGGGGACCTCCTTCCCCATCCGGCTCAAAGAAGATGCGGTGGAACTGCGAGCCTGTGGTGTTACTCTCTTCTCCTAATCATGTCTTCATACTAGAAACATCCTCTCCGGCCTCAACATTCCAGTAGCACACCCACCAACAGCTTCCAGACTGCGTTCTTTAGAACAGAAGCTTTCCAGAGATGCCAGGACCTCTTGTGCTGGGCAGGAAGGGGAAACAAAACAAGAGCCAAACCCACTGCCATCGAGTCGATGCCAACTCATAGCCACCCTGGGGGACAGACTCTTGAATGGGAGTAGAAAGCTCTTTCTTCCAAGGAGCGGCTGGTGGTTTTGAACTGCTGGACTTTTGGTTAACAGCCCAATACATAATGACTACGCCACCAAGGCTGCTAGCAAGGGGAAAGGTCATTCTTGTTTCTATTAACATGCATTGGGGTAAATGTCTAAGAAAAACACCAACATCACTTATGTGCCTGTCAGTAGGTCATCATCTCAGCAGAGATAAGAGAAATACATGTCTCTTGTGAGAGAAACACAAGTGCGACCCAGCATGAGATACTACCGGACACATGAACTACTGCTCTTTTCTGTGGACCCCTGACTCGTGGCAGCCCCATGCCCAGCAGCATCCGACCGACTGCTGGAAGTAGATTTCCAGCCGTCCTTCCTAGTCAGTCCCTGTCTGGAAGCTCTGCTGCAGTCATCACAGCAACAATGCCCCCACTAGGGCGGCTATTTAAGGGGGTGGGGGGGGGAATCATAACAGGTGTTGGCGAGGAGATGGAGAAACTAGAACCCTTGCCCGTGTAAAATGATACAGACACTATAGAGCAGTTTGACAATTCCTCAAAAAGCAACACAAAATTATCACGTGACCCAGCAACCCTACTCCTAGGTTAAGATAAACGAATAAGTTAAAATCATTGTATGTAAACTTGTCTCAGTGATCAGATGGCTGGAAGCACGTTATCTCCCTCACACACTTGGTTTCGCTTCATTTGGGTACATGAAAAAAAAAAGTCCAATCAAAACAGTGGCTTCTGTGGAGGGTCCTGCTGGCCCAGTTAACTCAAAGCAGAGAGGTCAGCTCAGACGGTTATAGCAATTGTTTGTTAGGACTCCGAAGGGGTAATGTTTATCGGTTTCCTCCAAGGGCACAGGGTCATCGTGGGGGCGCACTAGGAAGATGTTGTAAGCGAACCAATGAGTGCCTTGGCGAGGGAATGCCTAGGGCAGTGGTAGGAGGGTCGCCTCCATCACAACAGTGCGTGCTCTGACAGCATTAGGAAGCCTGACCCCATCCACCACCCTGCAGGACTGGTTTTGCCCATTGAAACTTCGTTTTGCTCCCCACACTCCAAGAACATTGAAAAGGAGGAGGCTCTGAGTCCCATGAGGACGCCCCGCCGGCCGCGGAACCCGGTGTACCTGGAGAAGTGCAGACCCCTTCAGGGAAAGGCTGGAGAGCTGGAGGCACCGGCTTCAGAAGTGCAGCAACCAGGCAGAAGTTGTGTGGAGACATAACAGCTGCCCACGTGGGTGTTTGCTGGTCTCAAGGGTGAGTCAAGGTGAGTCCCAGCCTACTCTGAGAAGGCTCCCCTGGACTGCACGCTTCTACCCAGGGGTTCCAGGAGCTGGATTCTTGACCTCATGCAGCAGGAAGGTGAGGCCCAGGTGCCCTCCCCTGACCACAGGTGTTCCTGCTGGCTCACTGTCCTGCCCAGAGTGACACACCTTGCATGCTGTATGGGAAAACAGGAATGGACGGCTATGCAGGATAGGCATAGACTATCCCCTGGGACTGGGAACATTCTCAAGAGGGGTGAACGCTGAGTAAAAAGTTCCGTGGTCATCGGGGTGAAAGGCACAGCTTATCGAAGGGTAGAGTGGGGTACTGGCAGGGTAATTAGATCATTATGTCAACTTGAATGAAGAGGCAGTAAGTGTAGGGATGGAGTCTAAACTGTCACTGAGGTCACAGCCTGACACTGTCTAAGTTCTTAGAGTGTGGCCTTCTGATAAGGAGGACCCTAGGACCCTCCTCCTGCCCCCTCTGCTTCCCCCTTCCTGCTGGCTGCCACCCTCAGAGCTGCCAGAGCCCTGCTGTTTGCACCCACCTTGGATCCACACCACTCTGCACCCACCGGCCTGTGCTCTTCCTGCTTCTGCATCATTGCATGTGGCTGTGTGACTCTGAAGAGGGACTCATGGGTTCATACTGGACGTACGGACTTGAGTGGGACTGAGCTGGGGGCTTTCTTGATATAAAATTACTCCTTGATATAAAGTTCTTTCTTATATATATATGAGTGTCATTGTATTTGTTTCTCTAGTCACCTGGCCTAACACAGGATAGGATGAGAGGTGAAGCTGGAGACGAAGACCAGGCCCACAGCCCTACTGAGAAATTGGGACTAGATTCTACAGGTGTAAGGGGTAGGTTTATTGTGCCAGCCTGCCCAGTAAGATCATGTGGGATTAATAAGGAGGCAGTTTGATTGGAGAGAAAAGAGATAAATGGATCAGCAAGCCCCGCCTCTCTTTCTCTTGCTCTCTGGTGATTGGACCAGTGTGCAGTTGCCTTAGCTAGTTCTCTGCCTTAACTTGCAAGCTACACTACCCGTGGGAAACCCAACCTATGGATCATGTCGCTAGAGCTTGAGGTTCCTTCAAGACCTGCTTTACCATGCTGCTGATGTATACATCGCCTGAGCTGGGGACTGTTGAATCCTGTCGTCTGGCTGACTGTTGGTGACCCGCACTGCTGTTTGCTGCCTATGGCAAGACTGCCTGCATTGCTCTACAGAAGAGTCAGCTGTCTGCTTCCTTGATCTTGGACCCAGCAGCTCTCGTGAGTTGAAAGACTTCCAGTATATTAACTGTTCCCCAGAAGTGAGTTGAACTGAGCCCTCCGTACTGCTGTGTGGGTTAATTAGCTGTTATATTCCTTCATTATATATATATAATCATAAGTATTCTGTTTTGTTTCTCTAGAGAACCCTAACCCAACAGGCAACAAAGAATTACTGCAAAGCCTGCAGTAAGAGGATCCAGGATCCTGCAGGGGTGATCCCTGGTCACTCACTGGGCGCAAATACCTGGAATGATACTCTTGCTTCACATCCTCACCTCCAGCTTCAACCTCCATCATATAATATCACCCACCATTCCACTACTAAGACCTTCTCAACCATATGAACGGCAGCGATACATGCAAGCCCTGCCTGATGGAGGGCATGACAATCAAATTGCCTGCACCTGTGAGAAGAGGTAAAGGAGACAGTACCAGCAGCCACACCGGCCAGGGCTGCCCAGGCAGCAGACCATCAACTGCTCGTATGTG